TAATAATAATAATAATAATAATAATAATAATAATAATTATTATTATTATTATTATTATTAAAAGCAATGTGTGATGGGGGGGGGAGAATCTTTCCTGAACACTATTTCTAGCAATGTATTTTTTCATCTCTGTTTCCATTTTAATCAAAACAACTTAAACATTTTACCCTCTGTCCCAAACAATTCGTTTAATTTAGCAGCCAGTAAGCTGGGCTACTACTGTATTTCTAGGGTATCATGGAACTGAAAGCTCCTGAATTCCAGTACAACAGAAACATCCACCCCAGGCACCAATGTAATTCAATCCCCCAGACAGACTACCACACAAGAGGATGGATTTTGCTTTGTTTTTAAAGCCTTGCCCTCCCTCTTTACTTCCCCAGATTTAACTAGTTGTATGCAGATGACAGAGGAAAATGGCACATATAAAGATAAATAGTTGGAATGCCCAGAAGAAGACCACAGTTCTGTGCAGGTGCTGTAAGGAAAGGAAAACTGTGTCTTCTTGCAACCTGGGATTGTGGGTAGCAGCGCAGCTTCCTTCCAATACTACTTACAGATATTTCGAAAACATAGATATAAATGACAGCTTTGGTCTCTTTGCAGTAATGACTCCCATGGTTTCTTTTGTGGAAGGTATAGTTAGGCAGAAAGTAGCCCACAGACGCAAATTACACGGTCAGCTAACAAACTATATGAGAGCCAATAATTTATTATCTGTTGCATTTTTAAATCATCCAGCAAGTGAAGTTCTCTGAGGAGCACACAATCAGACATGACAATTGGAACAGAAACCTAAAATGGCTATAGCATTCTGATTAAGTGGACTTGGGTCAGGGGAATGTTGTACTGTAGGGGGCTGCACTCCCTCAATTCCCCTTGGTCATTAGAGGCCTATGTGTGCTTCCACAAGCTTTGGCTGGTCATCCAGTTGTGACCATTTGTAGACAAAATTAGTTAAGTACTATGACTCCTGATTTGGTAACCTCCTCCTGAAGGAATCTAAGTGTGGTATAGTGGGTAGAATGTGGGTCTAGTAGCAGGGAGATTTACGTTTACATTCAACATGGAAACTCAGTGGGTGATTTGAGGTCAGTCAGCCCAACCTATCTCACGAGGGCTGGAGGGTGGAACAAAATGTATGCAACCTCAGTGCCTAAAGAAAAAGTGGGATCTAAATCTATGAAATAAAGTATTTTTCATTAAGCTTTCCTTGAAGACAATCTAAAAACTCTAATTAGTAGAAAATTTAGCTGCTAGAATTTTAACCCCTGTGCTTAACAATTCATATAATTCCAATATTAAAACAGCTGTACCAGATGTACATTTGTTTTCAAGCCCTTTCAGTATTTTTCATATCTCATAAGTATACATAAGGGTATCTCATAGGGCTACACACCATGTGCTTTCCTTATCATAAGTGCCTTTCTTATCAGACTTATGCTACATAATTACAAATTATTCCCTAGCTATGGAATGCCCTTCCTAAAGAGATATGCCTGGCTCCTAATTTACTTTTCTGAAAAAGAAACATTCAAGAGGTATTTTTTTCACCCGGGCATCTCGATTTATGTATATAAAATCTCAGTTGATCTTCATAACTGAAGTTTAATGGAAAAGTTAATTATTATTTTTTGTCATCACTATTGGATGTTAGTTTTATTATATTACATTAGCTTTTCAAATCATTTGTTATATATGTTGCACATTGCCCATGAACCTTGTTTGAATAAGGTTGTTATTACAACTGAATAAAATGAAAATATATGAATAGAGGAATCCAATGATCTGCCCTCACTGCATAATCAGGATGGAGATTCTGAGCCCTATGAGGATCTCGCTGAACACAACAGCCCTTACTTTCAAGTCCATATTCATATATTGGCTCTGGGGTTGTGCAAATACTATTGCTCCCTCTGATGTAGTACATGCAGCTGTTTTTTGTTTTAAAAAATACTTTCTATCTGCCTAGGTAACAGAGAAACAAGCTGGTTCAGGAATCTGGTGGCAATGTTTGATAGAGAATTTCAGGATAGAAGTATTCTGGTAAATTTTCCCATGGCAATTTCCATCTTGCATTGTTCAAAATGAAGCTGGTATCTCCTTTTCAAAAGGCAGGATCATCTCTTTTTTCTCTATAAAGATTTTAAGTCCAAGTGAGTTTTCCTTCATCAATCTACTTTTTAAATAGCGAGTTCCCATCACATTTTAAAAAGCTTTAATACAGCTTTTGGCCAAGGAATATATTCACGTAGGAATTTAATCTGTATGGCTTGGCTGGGCAGGGGATTTTCCCTCTTACCTCTCACAAACACATAGGTGCTGACCGCAGTGGTGCCTTCAATTTTGGCATTGATGTACTTGTAGTAACAGCGGTAGTAACCCGTGTCGTTAGCCTGAGTCCCAGTCAGTGTCAAGACTTTGCAATAGGGCTTTGCATCAGTGCCCTCACAATCTTCTTCCTTGACTGTTCGGATGCCGTTGACACTCACTACCGCTGAGTCACTCTCCTTTCCAGTTTGGACAGTGTCCTCTTGAATTCCAGGCCACAACCATTCCAAGGGATGTTGTCCTCTTTACCCAGACAAAAGAAGAAGAGAATCTGAGTCAGATGGATTACTATGTGTCTCTCTATGACAAGTCTTGTGTTCTAATATTCCCTCCCCTCCCATTCCTCCTGCCAGCAAAATAACATTGGAAAGTAACTGTAATAATGGCCTCTGTGCTTCTTACATTTTCGTGTTGCAAAGAGGGAAATAGAACTACAGTTCGCAGAGTATTCTGGAATGAAGGAATGACTAGTCCATCCCTTCAAGTCTCTGCAGGAAATTATGTATAGAGACTTTGCATGCCTGTTGGACCAAGCAGCAAAGAACTGAGGCAGACATAAGTGGTGGTAGTAAATGGGTCAGCAAAAGCTAGAGGTCTACCAAGATTTCGAGATTTGTTTTGCTAATGAGATCCCCCATGTGTCTTGCACTAGGTTTCAAAGCAATGTGATACTTTACTTTAGTTCGAGCACTGAGAGATTCTTCCCATCATTCTCTAAACTCTAGAGGAGCTTTCCCCTACCTAGTGTCCTTCAGGTGTTTCGAAGTATCAGCCTCAAAATTCTTAGCCAGCATGGTCAAAGTTATGTCAAACAATACACATGAAGGGCAGCAGATAGGGAGAACCAAACTTGCAAGACACTGCAGTGCTTTGCAGGCTTCTCCATAGTTCAGCACATATTACAAAGTATATAGGATCAGGCCTATCTCCCAGCTGCCAACTAGGATAAAAACTGTAATTACAATAATGATTCTTATTGCCAACGCTGTGTGTGATATCACAGGGGAGAGAGAGAGAGGGAGGGAAGGGGAGAGGGAGGGGGAGAGAGAGAGAGAGCCCAGTTAAAGCCTCCTTGCTCCAAAGGTACTGTTTATTTTGAATACTGACAATTTTTCAGTGCTTTACAAGCCAGAGTTGTCCCAGATTTTCATGCTTCTAATAATATTTGGTTGCTGTCTATCTCTGGGAAGTGGGGAGAGGAGATTGATCAAATTTCCTCTTCTCTGTAATCACAGCTACAAGCTGCCACCATTAGTCATATTATCAAATTATGGATACCAATAACTTGCACCTCTTTCTAAATATTTGCTGATTAGGCTGATACTTATCTGAGGTTGCATAAAATGAGGGCTGGTAGCTTCCGCTGTCAGTTTCCATAAGATAACTACATGGAGATTTAGTATCATCTATTTACTGAAAATGCTCAGAAGATACCGAAATATATTTTCTTAAATATCTTAACTCAGCTTTAGAATGCTTATGAAATTATCCTCATCTGAACTTCTCCAGATACTCTGAGGATCCAAGCCCTATTTACATAGTATCAGAATATTCTGATACCCTATTTTTCACAGTGCCAACCAGATGCCCATGGGAAGCTCACAAGAAGCGCATGCAGTTGCATACTGCACTATTTTAATTTAGCAAATTGCATAACCCCAGGCTGTATGGTTAATTTATGCATGTCATCCAAACATAGAAAACGTGTTAATCAAACAAACCATGGTTCAGTTGATGAAGGATAAAAATATCATGTAAGACCAGCTACTGAAAGGCTGTTTCCAGTTCTGGAGGCAGTCTATGCTGATCATGACTGTTGATAGACTACTTCTTCATAAGTCTTCCTTTAAAACAATTCAGGTTAGTGGCCATCATTGCATCTTATGCCAGAGAGCTCCATGGTAAGCCCACATGCAGTCACCAGAGTCATTGTCATAGCCCTTCAAGAATGGCAATTTTTAAACTAATTCATTCATTTCACTTCAGGGCCCGTAGGTTAAATCAGAGCCCAGAAAAGAATTCTGGGTAATTATACATGGCGTAGAGATTTTTTATGCTGTAGTATAATCAATGCTAATATTAATTTTTGAAATTCTGTTGTTTAAACTGGAAGGCAATACTAAAATGAAATGGGGAACATCAATGTGTAGAATTATGCTATGTACGTTTGCTCCTAATTCAGTAGTTATCATAGTTACAAACAGAGATGCTTCATGTTCCTGGGACTAAATTGCATGTATAAAGAAACCAAAACACCACAGTCCCTCAATTATTTGCAGAGGAACTGTGAGGGGGCATTTTAACACTAGTCACAACGGCAGCCAGAAATACAGGTGAAACTCGAAAAATTAGAATATCGTGCAAATGTTCATTTATGTCACTAAGGCAACTCAAAAGGTGAAACCAATATATGAGATAGACGTCCCTCAATTATTTGCAGAGGAACTGTGAGGGGGCATTTTAACACTAGTCACAACGGCAGCCAGAAATACAGGTGAAACTCGAAAAATTAGAATATCGTGCAAATGTTCATTTATGTCACTAAGTTTCTACCACACTTTTCCCTTCCACATAACCTTCTATTGATGTGCTTTGATACAGCACTTTGGGAACATCCAACTGTCCCTCAATTATTTGCAGAGGAACTGTGAGGGGGCATTTTAACACTAGTCACAACGGCAGCCAGAAATACAGGTGAAACTCGAAAAATTAGAATATCGTGCAAATGTTCATTTATGTCACTAAGTTTCTACCACACTTTTCCCTTCCACATAACCTTCTATTGATGTGCTTTGATACAGCACTTTGGGAACATCCAACTGTCCCTCAATTATTTGCAGAGGAACTGTGAGGGGGCATTTTAACACTAGTCACAACGGCAGCCAGAAATACAGGTGAAACTCGAAAAATTAGAATATCGTGCAAATGTTCATTTATGTCACTAAGTTTCTACCACACTTTTCCCTTCCACATAACCTTCTATTGATGTGCTTTGATACAGCACTTTGGGAACATCCAACTGTCCCTCAATTATTTGCAGAGGAACTGTGAGGGGGCATTTTAACACTAGTCACAACGGCAGCCAGAAATACAGGTGAAACTCGAAAAATTAGAATATCGTGCAAATGTTCATTTATGTCACTAAGTTTCTACCACACTTTTCCCTTCCACATAACCTTCTATTGATGTGCTTTGATACAGCACTTTGGGAACATCCAACTCTTTGCATGTAATGCGTCTATCTCATATATTGGTTTCACCTTTTGAGTTGCCTTACTGACATAAATGAACATTTGCATGATATTCTAATTTTTCGAGTTTCACCTGTAGTATTCCCCCTTGAGTTCCTATGTGGACCACGAACCTATCTCCAAATATCTGTGAAATATGAAGATAAGAGTTGCTTCATATTCATCTGAAATATGTTTACATCTATGGTCCCATCACAGCACCCTCCCTGTCTGAAAGTTGCATATTTCTGTATTTCAACTTCCTCTCTCTCTCTTCAATATGAATCATGTCTATGAAGGTGTTCCACTAGTCCAGAGAATTACCTGTGAATCCCTGCTGGCAAAATTAAACATACATGAAGAAGTAGAGAATATATTTTAGATCAAGAAGCTGTTGCAACAGGAAGATAATAAAAATGGCAGTAGCCATAATGGGCAAGGAATGACTCTAAGGTAAGCCTTCTTTTCTGTAGAACCATATTTTCAAGGCATTTTGATTATAGCAGGAAAAGCCCACAGCCAATAACTGAGGAGTAAAAGAGGATGGATTATGTTTTAGGATGTTTATATGTGCCACTTCACAAAGTGTCAATATGGTCTGCACAAAAATCTCAAGATGGGGACACAAACAATGGCTCATTCTTCCACAGTTTTTTTAGCGAACAGGGGATCTGAACTTTGCAGGAGGCAAGGGCTAATGGGCACAAATAATCTTGCAAAATTCTTTTTCAGTGAATGTATAGTTTGGAAGCACAACATAATCATGTTTTGCTCTTGTTGTCTTGATCTGAGTGTATGGGGTCATCGTCTCTTGATAAACTGGATCAAAACAAAGGGAGAGGCTATGCTTTTTGGGAAGATTCCTTTGTGTTTTCCTCAGAGAACAGATCAGCCTCTTTACTTTGGCAAAAGCAACTTTTCATATAAGATTCCAGAATGGAAATTAGAAACTCTCCTGTGCCCTCTGAGACTCTGTCATCTAAATAACTGCTTGATGCAATCTGGACTAAAGATATGTTCACATAACTGCTTTTCTCTCCTTTGGAGGAAATATGAAATAAAAGGCTTTATTCACTCAGGGGATAGGAAATGTTGCTACACGTTTGTTGATGTACATCAGAACTTCCTAATACAATGAAACTGCATGACCACTATATAGTAATTAAATATGCATATACTTGAATGAACACTGATTTTTAGGGCTTCTCTAAAGTAGGAACCTAGACAAGATTCTACCCCCCATCATTGGGGGGAGATGGGTGGGGAGAAATTTAATAAATAAATAAAATAAATAAATAAGATCTATACTGGAGCTTGTTGAGTTTGTGAGGCATCACAGTGTTGGATTTCGTTTTAATCACAATAGATGCCTTTTTCCCCTTAACCATTTTTACACCCAATTCTATTCTCTCCCATTATTCTGTATCAAACCTCCACTCAGCTTTCCTATTTAAGACTATCACAAATACTGTCATAAGATCAAATAATACACATTTTGCTATGCTCAGAAGCCACACTCTTTCTATAAATTTAGTCTGGGGACAAAAAGTGATTGAGAATTGTATAAGGAGAATGAATTGAGAATCTATGGCATTTGCTTCATGAATGAGGAAAATGTCCCAGGGATGGAATAGAATATGTGTTTAGCTTTATTCTTATGGAAACCTAACTTCCAAACAAACTGGTGGGAAGCAGAATTAAACTGAGGCTGCTTTTGAAGAAATGCAGCCAAAATATGTAAGCTATTGTAAGTTTCTATATTAACGTTTATTATTAGCTGTTTGAACTTATGAGTAGGTGTAAATTCTAAATCAATGTATAATTAGTGTTAGATACTATGTCTATACTGCACAAGAGGTATATAAATATAAATATTCAACTGTTTGTAATTAGAAAATAGAGAAACTGTTCTTGCTAATAAACAGATCATGACTATGCTGACAAATTCAGATACATCTTAGATGCCCCAACAGGGCAAAAATCTGGCAGGTCAATGCTATGCACATTATTGATCCCGGTTTCCTCAAGTGGAAGGCCAATCCAAATATCTCCATTTCAAGTTGCTATAGCAAAGTACAAAACGTTATCCTTTATTTTAGACACAGTGCCAAATTGGTTGGAAACATGAATAAACACATGTATTTCCTACCCCTCTCCTACATAGGTAACTTTCTCCGTTATTCTGTCATTATGTCTTGGATCTATGCAGTGTTCAAAGGAGGTGACAAATTTGAAATACAAATAAATAAATACATTTGCAGTAGAGAAGCCTTGGATGAAGTGAATTACTTTAGCTACTTTGCAACATGTCTCCTCCATGAAAGTTGTGATATCAGGCCCATTTTACCATAAAAAATGGACACTTCAACTAGGATTAACATTGTCCTTTGCTGCCTGGGTTTTGCAGCCCAGATATGGCAACCCAAGTTACAAGTCTATTTCAGGTATTCATAATGAATCAACTTAAATTCAGTCTTTTCAGCTATGCTGAAGATGACAGGAGGTCTCCACCATTTCCACTGCCTATGAATACTCTTTCAGAAACGATGGCCACATCACAAACAGATGAGGCAACAAGAAAAAGCATTTTTATTTGGCTCTTACCTGCAAGTAATATTTAAGGTCTCCTTAGCATTGATAATATATTCCTCTTCTGTGATGCTAAGAATGGGTGGAGTCATAGAATAGCCACTAACCAGATCTAGGGAGAGAAAGAAAGAAGTTCACTTAATAGATTATCCACTGATGCACTCTTTAACATTGGTATTTACTGCATCAGTTCTATCATACACATGTCATGGAGTGGCTTCATTCAACCAGGCCTTCTATTTCTTAGCTTCTGAGTCCAGACAGGATATGCCAGATGCTGCCACACGTCATTAAAAATTTTTATATAGACCAGGATAAAACAAGAGACATCAAGTTCACTGAATATAAAACCCATAAAGTGTGCACATTCTGCTTCTTTTGCACACACCTATACACAGTGTAAGGGTGGAGGGATATTGTTACCGAGGACAGGCACTCAATGTTTGATGACTAGTCTAGCAGTATAGAAGGTAGAAGTATCTTAACTATTCTGATTGTTGCAGAATCTTGTCCCAATATGACACCACGGTGCCAGTTCTAATGATCAAGGATCCTATATTTCTAAGTGTGGATAGTGTGGATTTGATTTAGTGTATTTTGTAATTGCAGTCACTGCAGTTTGTAAACCATTATTGTTTACAATATAGTTTACCTATAAATTCAACTAATTTTGGCTTGTTTAACAGTTAAGGTTAAAAATCCCAGCCATCATGTCTGAACCCTGCTATGGGTTCAGCCTTTTCTTGAGTCTTTTCTTTTCACACTGCTTGTTATCATAAATATGGACTGTCAGCCCTATAATACTGTGCCATGCATTTATTTATTTGTTTGTTTTTATTTATTTTTCACATTTATATAGCCACCTATCTCACACAAAGTGACTCTGGGCAGTGTACAACAATTAAATAAAACAACGAATAGATAAAAAAATAATCACTATAAAAAGATAAAAGTATATTTATGCATGTTACAATCCTAGAATGTTCTTCATAAATTAGTCCTTTTTAGACCTTTGGCAAATGGAATCATGGAAGAAAATAGGTTGCCTAACTCTGTCCCTTTGCCTCTGACCACCTTATGCTGTCAGAGAAAGTCTGGAGACAGGCCATAACCATAGTTGCCTGAACATGGTTACAGTGCTCCACACAATCAAGATCTCTGTGCAGAAACCTGCATTTTCACAGGAAACAAACTGCTCAGATTTAAAGACAAGTAACTTTGCCAAGACTCTGTTCTGAACCCTAAAGACCAGATTATGTACATACTCCAACAAAATACCACTTGTGCAGAAGGTAGAGTCCTGTCTTCAGATACAAGGGTACTGCGAGTTCTGTGTTGGAAAACACAACGTAGGTACTAGCATTCCTTCTTTCCAGCAGGAAAAATTCTGAGAAGGAAACAGCCTTTTATTAAAAGTTTTGGAAGATCTAAGATCTAAGTTCTAAATGGGAATAAAATAATGTAATATTTATAAATATTATAAATAAAACAATGTTTGTTTTTCAGTTACGCCATGGCCAAAGGAACTTTAAATATTTGCAGTTCTTGGCCAGTGTATGCTTTCGTGTATGAAAATGGGAGGCTGAGGGAACAGCAGTGTAAAAAAAAAAAACAATCCCTGCCTCTACCCAAAATCAAGATGAATTGCAATCTGGAAAAATAGGTAAGAAATTTCAGAGAACTAAAAAAAGTGTATTTGGGAACTAGATTCCCCATAGGTTGGTGAGAAATGTGTCAGTATCACCCTAGTTATAAGAATGTTTTGCCCCAAATGTGGCTTTTTAAGAGACATTCTTGCTCTAAAAAAAAAATCTTCCCAGACATTAGTAAAAGCAAGGCTATTTGATTAAGGTTGATCCACTTCTATAGACACATCATCAGTCTGACACACCTTCTTCTGACTGACTAACCTGCTCATCTCCCAACCATGCTTTTCCTGTATGAAATGGTAGGAAGGAGGCAGAACCTTCCTGGATTGTTATAGTGTTGACTATCTGTTGTTTTTTGATCCTTTACTCAAGGCATTTAGAATCCAGTTTGAAGCTGACTTCCCAAAAGAAACAAACCACACACTCTATTATGGTAGGCAGCAATACTTGAGATACATTAAGGCCAAATACTATGACGTTTGCAGATTGCTGTAATGCAGGTACTTGAGTGGTAATTGACTAGGACTCATAGAGAGCGAGCACCAGCTGAAACACTTAGGTGGTTAGGCTGTCACAAGGGACCCTGATTTGTCCAGTGGAACTAAAGAGTGATACAAAAACAAATGATGCTGTTATTAAAGCTACGTGGATCCCAGTCTGTCCTTTGCCCTAAGGGAAGAGAGTAAGCTGCTTGCAGTGCAGTATAAATGTAGTAACAAATATAAATATGTCACAAGAATTATTTTTCCCTGCCTAGTTATGCTTAATGCTATCAAATTTGGAACACAGGAAGTTGCGATATGGAAATGCCCTTAGAAGCCTATCTGACTAAACAAGAATTTTTTAAAATGGGAAAACAACCTTGCTGTACAAAATTAGTAATTTTCAGCATATTTAGCTATAGCATAGGACAGACCAGTTTGATTTCCTGTGGCACAATGCTGCATATAACCAGACAGCCCAGAAACAAGGAGAAGCAGAACTTAACTTCTGTTAAGCAGAAGTCTCCCTTTGATCACACACTGATTACATCATGGGAAGATTAAACAGTTTTTTCTTCCCATGTGGGAGCTCCCAATGGGTCCATGTGAAAACTATTGGTATGTTGTGATGTGAATTAACTCTTGAATTAAATAAACTAAGAGAATATCCAGATGATGCTCTTATTGTGTAATCTCCCTGCCTCATTTGCAGAATGCTATAAGGGAATCCAGATGTTGTCTTCTATTTGCAACTCCCTTGCATTTTCCCACCTTTTCTTTTATCCTTTTTCTTACCATAAATATTCCATTGCTAAGAAAAAGATGAAACACTTGCATAATGTATTCACCTGGAAGCAACCTAAACCTGTTCTTTCGTGTGAGCAGATACATGGATTATTTCTTTGATCCTCATTAATACTGATCACAAAGTTGAGTAGTTAGAATACCTCTACTAACTTATGTTAAGGAAAGCAGAAATTCTGGACAAAGAATTTTATAGCTTTCTGGACCAAACAAAGGCTGAATTCATGGATAGGAAAATACCTATAGCCTAGCAGATGTTGTTGAATTACATCTTTATTTTTTTTATTTTATTTATTCATCAAATTTGTCTCCGCCCATCTTGTGAAATGAGTCTGGGCAGTTTACAACATTAGCCTTGGCTATGATGGCTGTGGCTGTTGGAAAGTGGAATCCAGTAACATTGGGAAGCCATACTTTGCCCAAACCTATATTTATTATTTGTACTGTAATTGCAAATATAAAGGGAATATTATCACTTGCTGAAAGGAGGAGGGCTACTGAGGGAAGTCACTACCTCTTTCAGAGGAAGAATACCATGGAAAATCTTAAGCCCAGCTTAGGCCAAGTCATTAGCTAAAGAAAGATCAAGGATTTGATATTGGTTTTCCTCCTCAGCACTGTAATCTTTTAATGTTGATTTTTTTTTTTTTTACAGTTTTTAACCTTGTAAGCTGCCCAAAGTTGTTTCTGAGTGAGCAGCCTTAGAAACTGACTAAATAAATAAATAAATAAAAAATACATGAAATAAACTTCAGAAAGAATTCATTTGCCAGCTACAATATTCTGCCAGTGGTCAGTATAAGGCTGTGAGGTTGTTGTTGTTGTTTTTAATACTAAAATCAGTTATAAGCCATCATGAGAATAATTTGATTGAAAAGCAGAGTTTACTTTGTCAAGACAATTAAATAACAGCCTTCACACAATGAAAATATTTTTGATGTAACAATATTGCAGGTATGATGTGTGTCCTATACAATCTAGGCTTAGATTAAAAAAGAAACTGACTCCAACTGCTTTGTTAACTAGGACTGAGAAGTAAGAAATATGTATTTTACTCTGAGGTTCTTGGAGGAGGGCTGGAATTAAAATGAAATCAACAGAATAAGTAAATAAATTATAATCACTGAAATAAATGAATATAATAACTGCTGGAATCAAAATAATGTTCAGACATAGTTCTTCATTAATAATAGTAACAGTTTTAAAACCTAGCTTAGTTTTCAAACAAGCTCTACATTTTGCCACTAAAATGTCCTGTCTACATGTATTCCTTCACAGGTTAGTGCGTATCCATGTTCATATATCAACCAGTTTGTAAAATGGTAGCTGTAGAATTCAAACAACAAAAAACACACATTCATGTGTTTCCATTTGGGGCTGAAACATGAAACACACATGAACTGTATACTGATGACAGATCCCGGAACATGCAGATGTACCCGTGCAGTATGTATATCCATACATATGCACACAAGTCTATGAATCTTGCAGCGGAGATTAGATCATGATGACAGTGAAAAAAGAAAAACAGTGTGTAGGAACAGTTATGCCTATATTTTCTTTTTTTTAAATCCCAATTTAAAAATGTTTTCAATTTTCCCCCTGCTTTTAAAGTTCTGCAGGATAAAAATGTAGGGTGTTTTTAATTGTTAACTTCTATTTTTCATTAGTTGCATCAATAAAAAAAGCCTCACCCAAGCCAATCTTCTTAAACTAGAAAGGAAAACTTTAAGTACAACAGCATTGCTCAGTTGTTTAGACAACAGCAGCCTTGGCTTCTGTATTCAGAAACTGTTCTGCCAGGCAAGCTGAGTGTGAACACTCCTAACCTTTTTATGGACTTCATGTAAACTGTGGGAGCTCACCAAACTAGTTTTGCACACAGAGAATCCTTCCCTCAGTTCCTCATTGAGAAGGAAATGCAAGTAAAGAAAAAGCCTGTTTCAAACTTGCAGTACTAACTTTAAAGAGAGACAGAGAGAAGAGTGGAAGAAAGGAGAGAAATACAAATGAAAGGGTTAAGCACCACTTTATCCCTGCAGCTATCACTTAACAAGCGTTAGAAGAAGAGAGACCAAACCTTTGGATGTCATACAAAAATGCATTCTTAGCTATGAAAATAAATGAAAACATTTTTTTCAGAAATCCCTTGAAAATATATTTTTAAACCAAAGTAT